GTACTTTCAGAAGGCAATTATTGACATTTCTTCCACCCAGCTAGATCATTTGCTTATCTAGCTTTTTATTGACCATTTCCCTTTCTTTGTGTTTTTCAAATTCTCATAGACTCTTTTTTAAACTTTCAGCTAATTATTGTCAACCATTGAAGGAAATAATTTAAAAATTGCTGTATGTACGTTTTATAGATTTCCTTTGTTACCATTTTCTTTTATAGTTTTTCTGTGTTTACATATGACTTTATGAAACCTCGTAAAAGTTTAGGAAATGTGTTAGTTAATTCTCTATTGCTAAAAATAAACATCATCTAATAGCCTTATTCACCGATGGTCTAGCCTTCCGAGTTTTGTTTTGAACAGTGTTTTGTTATAAACTCTCCAATCTTTTACCTTCATGTTATAGAACTCTCATTGGCGATTACCTGTGATAGATTACATAATACCTTACAAAGACTTCACAGAGGGTAGGGCAATAATTCCACTTTCATTTAAAAAATATTATCCCTAATATTGATAGACAAAGAGAACTATTCAGATGAACATAAAGGAAATTTAGCTACCGTTGTTTCTGAAATGTTTCCAATTGGTGTGTGTGAATGTGTGCACACTTTGTGCAGCAATGACACCAACTGAAAAAAATCTCATTTTAATTTTTTCCTGTCATTTTTTTATAGAACTATGTGTGTCCACCAGCATTTTCTCATCTGGATTCTCTTATGACTAGCATTTTCTACTTGGTTACTTATAGTTAAAGAAGAAGTTTATGATCAAGAAAATAATTTCATATATTTCAATTATATGAAGGAATTCTAAAAGTTTTTGGACAAATGGAATTAAAAGGGAATAGCATTTTTATACAAATACCCTGAAGTTTCCTTATACGTCAGAAGATCTTGCACTTCTGGGAAAAAGGGATTCACAAGAACACAATTTACTCTTCCGACTAAAACAATCAAAATAACAAAACAGAAACAAACAAAGAAATAAATCTGAAACTATGATTTTTCAAGACTGAGACAGTGTATTAGGTAACAAAGAAAATCAGGGCAGTGGTGTCTGTGAGAGAGAAAGCAAGTGAGATCAGTGCTAAGATTGCCCCAGTTTTCTGTCCTGAGAGGTTTTTCACTGCAATGCAGACAGTGAGGAGACCCAGGTGGATGGGAGAAACTCCCTGAGGTGATGGAGCGAAGGGCTTAGGGAGACCAAGAGGAGAAGTCTAGAGTTCACAGGACAGAATATGAGCCAGGATAGAGCTGCACAGAGAGAAAACTCTGTCTATCTGTAGAGTCCCCACTAGTATTCAGCATAGTGATGGATACAGTCTCAAATTGATGGTGGGATGGTTTCACAGGCTTACACTACGTTAGAACTAATTGAATTGTACACTTAAATATTGGAGGTGGTTGTAGCGGTGGGTATACTAAATAAAACCTTGGGATTTATTTTAAAAAATGTAAGGAAAGTCGCTCAATAGAGGCTTTAGACCAAAGCTTAAGTGGAGCTCCAAACCTGCATTTGAAAATGGCCCGAGTTGATTGTGATGCAGAAGGACCTAGAGGCTTCATTTCATGAAGCACTGCTTGATCACGGTTTCTGCTGACATCACTCAAACCTCTCAATGTCATTTATGCAGAGCATGGTTAGGCAGAGAGCTGAGAATCAGGTTGTATGGAGAATCAGTGCACTTGTAATTGACAAATTTGCTTACTATTTTCTTTGGTTGATCGCTATGTGGGATGGATTTACAGATAGCAGGTCAAAAAAAGCAAAGACATAATGTAAACGTGTTGAGCCTCGCTTCCTCATATAAAAGTAGAGATGATACCATTTGCTAGAATTGTTGAGGATTGAAAATTGCATTCTACACTGCTTGATGCAGAAACCAAAAACCAAACTCACTGCCATCCAGTGGACACAAACCATAGTGATTCTCCGATAGGACAGGGTAGAAGAACTGCCCCGTGAGTCCCTGAGCTTGTGTGCTAGTCTGGGTACTTTAGAGAAACAAATCCATGGAAACACATGAATAAGAGAGAGTTTTATAGAAAGGGTAAAGGCACATCAAGAAAACATCCCAACCCAGTGCTGCCCAAGCTCACAAGTCCAAAATTAACCCATATGTCCAACACCAATCCACAAAGTCCTCCTCCATCTCACAAAACACACACTATGATGCCGACTGCAGAAGGAAAGTTGAGTCAGTGAATGTGTAAGCATCTCAGCGCTGGCAGGGGTCTCTACACGGCTGCTCCAACACCCAGGGCTGCATCGGGGTAGGTCCATGTGGCTTCTCCTCAGGGATGTCTTACAGGAAGTGAGCCTTGCCAGCTGAAGCAGGGAACTGGCTAAGGGAGCTGCACCGTGGTCCGACCATCACACAGCAAGAGACCTGAGAACTCGAAAGGCGAGGTTCACCAACCATTTATCTCTCTGCCCTTCGATTAACCCCACATGTGTTTATTGGCCAGGTTGGCACAATAAACTTTAACTCTATTAGAAGGTAATTCCTTACCACAATAGAAAGCCCTGGCTTTCTCCCAGGGAGTGACGGTTTCAAACAGCTGATCTTATGGGTAGCTACTGCCCAACACTTAACAACTACACAACCAGGGCTCATTGCTCGATATATGGGTACTAAGAAATATTACTCTCTGTCCAAGATGTCAAGTTGCGGGTTCCTGTTCAACTTGCCTAATAGTTTTCTAAGTACGTGGGCTAAGCCACTACGACTTCCTGATGATTGTTTTTGAGCCATTGCTTGGCAGCATCTTTCTTGGCTTATTTTTTTCTATCGTATTTGAAGGTTTAAATGATTGCTCTTCACATTTTGTATTTTAATCTTACTACTTTTGGTCTCATTCAGTTAATTTCTGTTATTGATCATTTAATTAAAAACATTTGCATATATGACACAAAAGACTGCGTTCTGGAGAAAGATATAAAAGATTTTTGTGTGCTAGCCGGTACTGATTTCTCTTTTCTTCGTATGGTAAACTAAGACCTCCATCTCTAAATCATTCCTATCCTAATCATTCCTCGATTATCATGTCTAAATACCCAGTTCATCACCAGATGTAAACCCTGAAAGGGACTACTGAATATCTACCTTTGATTCTACACAACCAACTTGCAGCTGGAAGATCATGGAGAACACACTGCCTATTTGGAATAGCCACTTCTGTGGATTGTAATTTAGTCTGTCTGTCCTGTCAGTACCAGCGTACATAAGATCATGGCAAGCTCAGAGTTAAGTCCAAAACCTCTATTTGAGAATTGAGATGGTATGATTGTTTTCTAGCAGACAGACGGATGTCAATCAATACCAGATATCAAACCCATGCCTGTTCTGGTGTAAAGAACATTCTTGAAAACCAAATCACTTCTGCAGTGTGGGATACTCTCAGAATTTTGTATCTTATTTCCTCACCCTGATCACTCTTTGGAGGACTGGGAGTATAGTGGTTGTACACTACACTAGTAGTTGGGCTGCTAACTGCTAGGTCAGCAGTTCACAACCATCAGCTGCTCCTAGGAAGAAAGACAAAGTTTTCTACTCATTAAAGAGTATTTCAGTTCCAGAAACTGAAAGGGATAGTTCTAATCTGTCCCGTGGGGTTAGTATGGGCCAGCTTCGATTTCATGGCAGCGAAGTGATCGCTCTTAAAACAGAATCACTACTTTGAGCTACCAATGTGGGTTTTAGGCCCTTTAGTGCTTCTTGAATATGGAATCTATTTTTCTCTCACACATACTGGCTATCTAGGATCAAGCCTGATATCATCAAAATGGTCTCTCAGTTTTCCAGTCTCTTATGTTGGTCCTTAAGTTCACAGAAGAAGTTTGCCATATGATTGCCAAGCCACCAGCCATCTGTCAGTTTGTCCTACTATGGTAGCTTGCATGCTGCTGTGCTGCTGGAAGCTGTGCCACTGGTATTTCAAATACCAGCAGGATCCCACTGTCCATAGGTTTAAGCAACACCTCTAGACTAAGTCAGACTAGAAATGAAGGCTTGATATTCTACTTCTGTAATTAGCCAGTGGGAACCCTAGGTATCACAACAGAATATTGTGAGTTTACTTGCTTTGGACACGTCATTAGGAGGAACCAGTCTCTGGAGGAGGACTGCTTGTTTATAAGGAAGAGGACCTGTGAGGCGAGGGAAAACCTCAGAAGGATGGATTGATAAAATAGCCCAAATCTTGTATTAAATCTATCGGTTATCCTGAGAGTGGTACATGGCTAAGTAATGTCTTATCTTATTGTGCTTTAAGTTGCCAGGAGTTGGGGTTGACCCTAGGACATCTATCTATCAGTTGGTCTATTGATTGATCAATCTTTTACTTGAGCAATCACCAATTTAGCTTATTTGGGGGTATGAATTCATTCCCTGAATGTCCTTATTTCCAACCATCCCAAGCTGAGGATGACTTGAGTAGATTTGAAAAGGTCAGTATAGTTTCCAAAATAAATATTTGTCCTATCTTTTGCAATGCAATGGGCTCTTCAAAACAAACTCACTGCCATTAAATTGATTCGAACTCGTAGTGATCCTAAAGAGAGGGTAGAACTGCCCCTGTAGGTTTCAGAGACTGCAACTCTATACCGAAGTAGAAATTTTCAATTTTTTCCCTTTGGATTGTTGCAAGCTGACCTTGCAGTTAGAAGCCCGATGCAGAACTCACCAGGGCCATTAGCCTATTACGATACTTCAAATCTTAGTCAAGTGCCTTTCTATGACTCCCCACCTCATGCATTGCTCAGGTAACATTGAGTGATTTGTATTTGTGTTGTGCCATTTCTGTTCTTATTATAGCCCAGGATGCACTATAGATTTTTGATAATTTGTCTCTTTACCTCGAGCACAGGGACTCTGTCTGATTTGTCTTCGAATCCTCATCATTTAGCACTAAAACAGATTAGGTGATTTAAGGGTGGTTTCAATCTCTAATATTTATTTTAATAACATTTATAGTTTTATAAATTCAAGAAACACAAAATTTATTCAATTTCCTTTAATGAATATTTGTTACAAAAACAGAGGTATAAAATCTTCTTCCCACATTCAAACCACTTATTAACTTAAGCATTGAGTTTTCTGAATCACTGAACGTGAAGTAATTCTCTTTACACCCTCCAAAATTGTTTGATTGAGGTGTTGGAGATAAAATGTATATTAGAAGAAGTATATAAAAAGACATTTTAAGAGTACAAAATTAATTGTAAAAATAACATAATTTACTGGTAATCCCACATTGTATTAGAACTGTTCCAAGCCTTTTGATGCTAAATTTGTGTTTTGCTTTTTTAAGTACTGAGCACCTCTTTTTATAATTTAGATTCTCATGGTGAGGTAATTGCATGCATTTTAATGTATTTTATACTTAATTCATGGTTTAATATTTTCAAGGCTATAACAGCTTATTACACCGAGACTTGAATTATAACGAATTCGTGACAAGGGTTGTCACCGACAGCACCTAAAGGTAGTTAGAAATGGCAATGCCAAGACACAGGAATTTGTAAGGTGCTATGTTTCTCTCAGTTCTGAACCAACAGAAGGCGAACCCCACAATTTCTTCTATGGTTCTGGCGCACTAAAAGAAGATTACATTTGCATGCAAAATGGCTTTTTATGTGTGAAAGATTCTGACGTTTTTGAAGTCAGAGTGGTTCTCCTAATTTCTCAAGGTGAGCTTATTGACTTAGGGTTTTATCAACTTTGGTATCTGGCTTCTGGATTTTCACTGAGAACGGCGACCTTCCCTGGATCGTCTTCTTGGTCCTGACAAGCAAGAAGAAAGAGAATACTGTTTGTAAATGTGATTAGAATTTAGAGTTTAAGTTTATGCTATTCCACACATAAATGTTTTTTTTCTCACTGCCAATCATTTCTTAATGGAATAAATATTAGTTAGGTCGCTTCCTTATATAACTTTCAGCTGACAGTGATAAAGCCAAGTTGTGGTTGATCAGAAGTACAAGTTAAAATGTGGATGTTTAGAAGAAATTCCCGTAAATCCTTCACTTAAAGTATATTTCTTTGATTTATTCTTTAGGTCTAAAGGTCTAAATATTCCAAAACTCAAAAAGCTCACAGCCATCAAATAGATTACGACTCACAGAAACCCTGTAGGCCAAGGTAGAAATGCCCCTGTGAGTTTCTGAGACTAAATTTTTATGGGAATAGAAAGCCCAGTCTTTCTCCACTGGAGTGATTGGTGGTATGGAACTGCTGACCTTGTGGTTAACAGCCGACTTGTAGCCACTATGCCACTGAGGCTCCTGCCTATACATAGAAGTGGCTTAAAATCAGATATGCCTATAAAATCAGAAATGTCGACTAGTCTTGCAACTATGAATATGCACTATTCTTAGAATTTTCAAATGTGCTATTACAAGAGTGCAATTTACTCTGAGTTCTATGAAGAAAATGGTTGATTTTTGAAAGTATGCAAAGACATTAGAAAAGCACGTTGTGTAGAGTTATGAAGAAAAATGAACCACCCATGGTCAGCAGTTCTAATCTACCAGTTGCGCCAGGGGAGGAAGCTGAGGATTTTTTTGTTTTATGTCCCAGTGAAGCTGCACAGCTTTGGCAACCGGTAGGGACATTTCTCCTCTGCCCTCCAGGGTCACGACGAGGCAGAGTCTACTTGGTGGCAGTAAGATTTTTGAGTATGGGATGTATGCATATCTACCTATCTACACATTAAATCCAGAGTTTTGTCAACAGTTATTTTAACAGTTTTCCTATGTATACATTTCAAATTTATACATATTACCTCAAGATAACCCAACAAACACATCGTTTTTATAGTGATCAGATCAACCTGTAACATCCATTCACTGCTGTGCTGTGGGAGGATTGAGGTTTTGACTGGACTACATTTGATTCTATTTCTTCTGAGTCTTCACCCAGGGACACCTTGGAAGAAAGGTCTAACCATCTACTTTGGAAATAACACTCCTTGAAAGCGTACAAAGCACAATTTACTTGGACCCTCTTAGCATTGAGTCAGATTTGATTCCACAATAGCTGGTTTTATTCCACTGGTAGTATAGAACATGAGCAATTTGCATTCTGATTCTTATTAGCAAAATACTTTATCTCACAATTTGCTAGCTTTCTTTCCTGTCAGACAACAACATTCAATAAACGACATTAGCATATTTTGCTTCACTTTGATTTTTTTCTAAACATAAGAAAACATGCCATTTATTAGGGTGACTACTACTGCAGTCAATATACTTGCCTTGAACTCTCTTGTTAGCTGGCACCTTCCTCACTGGTGTGTCTAAAATTAAGCAAGTCTAATTAGAACTACTTTGCTTTAATTAGAAATTTAATCTGAAAACAGCTGGGTGAACATAACTAAGCAGAGAAGTCTAAAATTTTACATTATGGATTACATAGGTGTTTTCTTTTGGAGTAATAAATTTGATGATTATGACAGGTTTGCATTGGAAAATAGACAGCAGTTTTCCATATATCATAAAGAGTGTCTACCATTTTCAAGACTTATTTTTCATTATGATCTTTGTGCTATTTTTGCACAGGATACATTATCGGCATGGCATTTTCATCCCTTTGTAAGAAATGCCACTTCCCAGAGTTATACACCTATTTTATAAGGCAGTCATATCTACTTGTAATGTATCAGTGAAATTATAAACCAAATAGTGATTTTGTCATAGGACATGAGGACAAGAAAATAGCATCGATCTATTAACTCTAACAGTGTAATAATACAAAATTCAATACGTACATGTCACCATCCCTCTAAATGTAATCCCAATTCTTCAAGACAATTTTAAAATGTAAGCTAGTGAACAAGATTTTAAAATCGTATCTTTTAAGAACTTCACATTTCACAATTGAGCGATTTTTGTTTTCATTGCGATAGTTGCAGTGTTTCTCGATGTCCTTATTTTTCTTTTTATTTATTGGCAAGATTACTTGGTACATCTAAGTTTAAATTTTCAGACATCTGAGATCAAAGAGTAAAGTTGGTTCCTACAGCAACTTAACCTTTCTGCTTACCTTTCCTTTTTTTCTCCAAAATTTTAATATCATCTATGTTGAGGAATGAAATCAATGCTTTTTTTCATTCTATGAATTTTTAGCTTTTCTGATATCCCATAAAAAGTAAGCATGAAGCTATCACCATGGGTAACATGGGGTGATTACCACCAAGTAAATTAAAGAAGAAATTAAAGTAAATTTTTAAAGAATTTTTTTTCACATCTAGAGGAACTGCACTCTTAATTAGATATCTTCTTTTTCTCTCCCACTCTGTAAGGTGTACTTACTATCCCAAATTAATATGGTAATAAAATGTAGGGATAGACCATCTCAGCCTCTATGAGGGAAATATATAACAAGACCAAAATGCTTTATGTCTCAAGTGATGTTTTCTTTCTAAGAAAAGCAAGACTAAAGTGCTGAAAACCAGGCTTTTTAGCTGTTGGCTCTCTGCCATCTCAAATTGAATGCAAGCTGTGTTAGGTCGTTTCAAAAGAAGCAAAATCAGGGAGGAGGACTCTGAGACCTGAATCTTTTGGCACAAAGGGCCTCGCCCAACAGATCCCTAAAGCACGCACTGCGCTTCAGCTTCTTCTTCATTTTCACATTGCCATGACCTTTGGGAACTTAAGGTAAGGGTGTCAAATGTATCTTTCATGACGAGTATCATGGTAATTGGAAATAATATCGACAGTAACTCTTACTGGGAGTTCCTCCTGTGCTGAACATTGTCTCAAGTGCTGTCTGCTTGTACAGGTATTCACACTCACAGGTTACATACAAGCACTGCTAGCTCCACTCTGTGCCGTCTCAGAGGGGCACTATGAGTGCAAATTGATTCACTGGTGGTTGGTTTGGTTTTAGTTTGACCATATTATAAACACGCAGAGAGAAAAATAACAAACTTGTAAGACGAAGACTATGGTTTGGATACATGATAGTTAAATAAGTTCTGATAGACACAGAAGGTCAGTCTTGAATATTATTTATGTTCACATCAGTTTCTTTGTAAATCGGTGTCCCTCAGCACCTAGGCAAGAAGACATCTGGGTTTTACATGGTTGGGGAAAAATAAATCCTAGCAGGTCCAATTAATAACCAGATGCGGTTCTACTGTCTTCTCAATGGGAAGAAAAATACTAGCCATGTTTTGCTAAAAACTCCCATCTGGCACTGTGGAAACTGACCAAGTGATGTAGTAGAGAAACCACATACTGGGGACTAAAAGAATTGATCTCTAGGCTATTGAGACAATAATGAATAGAGAAATCCATTAAATAGGAAAACAATGGACTATCACACTCTAAACTTGTAACAGAGTTCTCTTTACCTGAAGCATTCTTTAAGCACCCAGTTGTATTGTCTATAATGAATTTATTATCAAGGGTTTGTTGAAAAGGAAGAAAATATACTTACCTGAAGTTGAAGCCTAAATGAATTAAAACAATATAAACAGATGCAGCGACTAATTGATTCATTCTCTAAAAAGCACTGCCATTCTATAAAGCTGCCATTCTATATACTATAGCAAGGATTTTATATATATATATATAAAAAAAAGAATTCAATTTAATCTTCATAATATGTTGACCTTTCCCCTCAGAAGCCTACTGTATACGAGGTGGATGATTGAGTTCTGCATAGGACCCTTTGGGGACATATGACATTGCTTACATTGTGTTTCCCTGTCATATGAAAGGAAAGGAGACCTGGTAATTTTAGAAAACACACACGTCTATTGAGGGGGTTTCCCATTTCAATCATTGCTTGCATAAAAATGATGTATTGTTTATTACAACTGGCCAGTTTCTAGACAGAATATGAGACTTTTATCTATATTTAAAATAAAGTTTCAAGAAATAATACGTGGCCAGATTATACAAGGGTCTAAGAGCATTTATATCCTCTTGAACCTGTAGGTTTATCTACTTACACTATCAGTAAGAAAAACATGTGGGCTCTAGTTCAGATATATACCCAACTTAAGCTTTGCTTCTTATTCATGCAAGGTTCAAAGAATATAATTATTTAAAAAAATAATTTAAAATACTTGCATCTCAAAAACATTTTGACATCTTATGAATTCAATTATTAGTAAAATAAATCAAAAATATTTTTATTCGAATTTCTATGATCCAGGAGGAGGGGAAACTGGTAGAGCCCAGAGCATTTCTAAGACAATGAAATTCGTCTGTGTGCTATTTTAGTAGTGAACACACGCCATTATGCATTTGGAAAAAGTCATATAACTGTACAGCATAAAGAAATTATCCTAGTGTGAACTGTGGACATAAGCTAATGATACATCGATTTGTTCACTATTTGTAGCAATTACACACCAGGGGTGTAAATTGTTCCTCAGAAGAGAAACTGTACAATACGGTGGCCTTGGAAAATAGCAATTCTATACTTCGGGCAATATTTTCTGCAAATGTAAAAGTGTTCTAAAATATAAATTCTATTTTTTTTTAAATACCAATGACCCAAATTAGAGTTTATTAACATAAACTATTTCTTTGAATAACTACCATTTTGAGATTGTATAAGACTTTGAATTCTTTTTTTTTTTCTATTTTGCTCTTATAATAGGTATATTTAGTGCCATAGACAGGAACATTCCATACTTTAAAGATTAAGGCTAATTTCATATGCAGAAATAATATGATTCCCAGGAATAGATTATCATCCATATTGTTAGAAGAAACAGATACCCATTCCCAGCAATGCAGGTTGGAAAAGAAAGTGATTAAAACGCGCTGGATTTTACCATTGCTTTCACTTAATAATCTAGAAACATGCCTTTTATTATTTCATGGGGGCAGTGAATACATTTTTTTAAATATGAAAAGAATATAAATTTGGGTTTGTTTCAGTGTCAAAGCCAAAAACAATAAAAAGTATATGTATATATATATATATATATGTATATATATTCATTGCTCCCCAAACTTTATGTCATAAAACTTTTTAAAGACTGTTAAAACTAGCAATCATTTCTTCGTCTCTATAGCTTTTTAACTGAGAGAGGACCAATCATTATACTTAGACAATACATGATCTTGTCTCTTCAACCCTAGTTTAAAACAAAACTAAATAAAACTTTGTATGTTCAGTCTTTAAAAAGCTGAAGAAGTCAGCCATCACAACCTAAGGGTGTTAGTTTTTTTTTTTACTAACCTCCCTGAAGTAGTCTCTTAATTTCTTCATCTTCAAATAAATGACCATCACCACCTTCAATGAATTTGGTGACCTTGGTGACCTCTGAGTAGATACATGTTTATAGCAAATATTGGTTTATGTGATACAGGTAATACACAGTGGCTTCTGCCCAACACTCAGATCTTTATGAATTTGAGGGCTGCTTGTGGGAAATCAATCAATTTTCTCATACATCTGACAACATAAAAATCATACAATCGCTACAACTGCCAATTGAGTTTCATTCCACACCTTGGCTATGTCTTCTGATATTGGTATGGAATGTGATATAGCAGAAACAGGTGTACATCCTAGATTTTTTTACTTTGTAGAATTTGACACATTCCTTTTCTAGAGATGCTGACCTTCTTGCAGCAGTCTCTGCAGTGTTTCTTCTGTGTCTCCTCCCCCAGCAGAAATTCTCGTGTATTTGATTTCAGGACCTAAAAGGAACGCCACAGAAAAGCCTCAATTCCGGGTAGGGAAACTGTTATTGCAAAGGGAAAGGTTGGTAGATCAGTTTGGCTTTGTGGAGCCAATTGCCTTCTGTTGTGACCTTGATCTTTGCTGTTGTCCTGTGGATTGATGTCCCACAGTTGCTACCGGGGAGGAAAAATTAGGCTGTCTGCTGGTGACACAAGCTGGGCTGCCAACCACAAGACCAGCAGTTTGACGCCACCAGACTTCTGTTCCTCAGAAGAAAGATGATGCTTCCTGCTCCCGGAGAGATGTCTGACCTCAGAAACCCAAAGGATCCTCTAGGATCATCACTAGGAGTCAGACTCAACTCAAGGACAGGGAGTCTGGAGTTTGCTGCCATAAAGATCTGCAGTCTCAAAATTCTTGTATACCCTGGTCAGAAGTTGGAATTCACTTCACGAAAGTGCTGTTGGGTCTTGTAGCTATACTGTGAAAGTGGCCTTTGAAATTACCTACCATATATACTCGTGTATAAGCCGAGTTTTTCAGCACATTTTTAATGCAGTTTTTGTGGTAAAATTAGGTGCCTTGGCTGATATTCGGGTTGGCGTATCCTCGAGTATATATGGTAAACCAATTAGGATGACTGCATCCCATTTCAATTTTATACACAAATAGGCCACGCAGGTCATTATTTTGTGACCACAATAATGGGCAAAACAAACAACAACTTGAATTCAGAAATTTAGGTTCATGGATAAATGGGAGACTAGGTTTACTGAAGTTTTTAATCAATTGCTTTATACAAACTGAAGTATGTTTTAAATAGGTAAATCTATAGACTTTGAGATCAATGACGGGAGTGGTTTTGCTTTTAGGACTTTAAAAAGTCATTAAAAAAAAGTAAAGTGAACTAATAGGTCATGTATTATTCATGTACATAGTCATGAGAAGTGGGTTATGCGTTGAATGCCAACTCCAAGGTCACCAGTTTGAAACTACCAACAGTTCCACGGGAGAAAGATGAAATTTTCTACTCCTGTAAAAATGTACAGTCTCAGAAACCCATCGGGGCAGTTTTACCCTGTCCTGTCCTATAGGTTGGCTATGAGATAGAATCAACTTCATGGCAATGGGTTCGAGTTACTTATAGTAAAAAAAATATATGCTTATATATTTACCTATTACATTTCCAATTCAGAATAAAACGTAGATTGCATATTTGAAATTATCTTATTTGTGCCAAATGAAAACACTGACGTTGGTAACTACTATGACAAGAACTTAGTTTGTCTAGTGATCCTTATAGAGCTAGTATAATATTAAGTAAGGGTTGTTCTTTATAACTGAGACATGGTTACGGATATGAAATAACAAACTACCTTTGATGATTCTTTCTTCCCGGGTCTCTTTTTCAGTTATTTCTACAGGCCTCCCTTCAATCATCTTGGTGTACCTTTTAATAATTGGTTCTGAAAGTAGAGGATTAAAGGCATTTGATTTCTCCCCAAATGTTGTATGGGCTGCCCTCAGATCGACTTACACTTTTAAAACTATAAATGGGGTGAATTTTTTATGGAGCAGATCAGGGTTATCATTCAAGAATTCATAACCATTTTGTTTCATCTCATTGATGGCAATCACCAAAATGAAACATCGGCCTTGCCCACTGCCACCGTGTGCTCCGGTATCCATTCCTCTTTCTTCTGTAGCCCTTTGAAACATGATTCTTTGCCAAATGCTTCCCTTTTGATCTGCACTGATTGTACTATGCTATGCTGTGCAAATCTCCCCAGCGTTGTTCACCCATGGATCTGTCTATTGTTTGGTTGAACTCTGAGCCCTGTGTTCCTTAAAGAACATGATTTAGTTTTTAATCGTAATCATAACCATTTTTGAACATATGTCAAATAAAATCAGTCTTGGAGTTCTAAAAGTTAACAGTGAGGGCCTAAATGTTAGACAATGGAGAGGGCCAGCTGAACCAACTCTCCATGCCATACTTGTTGCCTCGCTATGAAATGAGTTTTAAGTGAGAATCCAGGTCATTCTATGTCATTAGAATGGAAGTTTTATAATAAGTTCTTGCAGTTGCTATTGATTCAATTCTGATGCATGGCAGCCTGATGTGTTTCAGAATAAAACTGTGCTCCAATGGTTTCAAGAACCAAGTTTTTAGAAGTAGGTCAACAGATCTTTCCAATGAGGCACCCTGGGTGGACCCAAGCCTACAACGTTTTCAGTAGCAACATAGAGGGATAACCGTTTGCACCACTCAGAGACTCCATAGTAAGCTCGGCTGTTATGTGTCCTCAAGCCACTCTGACTCACAGTGACACGAGGGACAACAGAATGAAACACTGCCCCTTCTTGCACCCTCTTCACCATGGTTGTTTCGCGTGAGCCCATTGTCCAGTCACTGCGTTAATCGATCTCATTGAGGGCCTTCCTCTTTTTTTTAACCGTCCCTCCACTGTACTAAGCATCATGTCATTTTTCAGGCACTGGTCTCTTCTGGCGACGTTTAAAGTATGTGAGATGAACTCTCACCCTCCTTGCCTCTAAAAAGCATCCTGGCTGTCAGAGTTGTTAGTTTCGGTGTTTGGCCCACCATGTACTTTCAATACTCTTCACCAGCATCATAATTCAAATGTATCTATTCTCTGTCTTAGTCAATGTCCAGATTTCACATGAATGTGGGGCACCATGGCTTGAGTCAGGCCAATCTTAGTCCTTAATGTAATCTCCTTGCTTTTCAGCACTCTAAAGAGGTCACGACGTGCAGCAGAGTTTCCCAATGCAATGTGTCATTTGAGCTCTTGACTGCTGCTTCCATGAGCATTGGTTGTGGATCCAAGAATGATGAAATCCTTGACAATTTCAGTATTCTTCATTTATCCTGATGATACCTATAGGTCCAGTTGTGAGGATATGGGTTTTCTTTACATTGAATTGCAATCCACACTGAGAAGGCTGCAGTCCTTAATTTTCATTAGCACGTACTTCAAATCCTTCTCACTTCCAGCAAGCAAGATTGCGTCATCTGAATATTGCAGATTGCTCATAAGACTTCTTCCAATCCTGATACCACATTTTTCTTTATATAGCCAAGTTCTTTGGATTATTTGATTAACATAAAGATTAAATAAGTGTGGTGAGAATATACAATGCTGATGCACACCTTTTCCGATTTGAAACAAGGCAGTTTCATTTCCCTTTTTCTGTTCAAATAACTGACTCTTAACACATGTATAGGATGGCGAATTAGCCAGAGCTCTATATACTTGCTGCGCTATGTTCATCTTTTTTTTTTTCCTGACTACAATATATCCTTTTGTGTTGATTTTATTTTTTATCACAGTTTCTTTTCATTATTATCACTTGATTATTAAGAATTAATGACAGCTTTGTTAGATCTAGTAATTTAATTGCTAAATTTATGCCAACTAGATCCATTGAAAATAAAAAATGTGTTATATCTGATTGGACAACAAGAATTTACACACTGGGAAGATGTTAAAAGCAACAAAGAAAAATCCTCTTTTACATACAATCCTGCAATAACTGACCTACAAGTAGAAGCTGGAATGGAAACACAGGATGAACAGGTGTGGGAAGAAGAATGGGAGTAAACCCATCGTCATACCTAGTGCTGGCCTATATGTACACTTACCTTTGTGTCAAATATATCCATGACTATGCTGGTCCTTATATCTAACCAAAGAGTTTGAGAGAATGTGTTGTGGGGCAGATCAGGGCCCATAGTCTTAAGGAAACCTAGTCCATTAGAGCAACATGGTCCACATTTCTACATCCTCATTTAGTGAGTAGTGACTGGGATTTTAAAAGCTCATGAAGACAACTGTTGGTTTCTTTGTTTGCAGAGAAAAGAAGAGTGATCAAAGTCAATAGTTACAGGAAAACAATCCAATGGACTAATGGACCACGCAAACCTAGGTCTCCACCACCCTGAGAGAAGAATAACTAATTGACTGATTATCACTACCAACTCCTCTGAAAAGACTCACATTAGAAGGAGGGTTCTGGATCGAGAACCTATGATATGCAAATGACACACCCTTGCTTGCTGAAAAATGTGAAGCAAAACTCCAAATCACAGAAAAGACCAGGATTGCTGATAGGATAGAAATTGGTGAAGCCCCAAGACTGACTCTGTCCTTAGTCACCTTTCATAGCTGGAGCTGAACTTACACCCACAGCTCAATGTGAAACTACAGAAGAGACAAGCCTATCATAGGCGCAACACCAGTAGTGTTGTATGTACACCTTAGAACAAACAATTAATCAAACATTTAAGATGCTAAGGGCTGCAGAAGTTTAGAGAGTTAGGAAAGAATAAGGAATGGGAACAAGAAACAGAGGGATGGAGTGGAACAAGTGAGGGTCCATTAAGGAGCTAGCGACGGATGGATTGAAACAAAATGTGTATGGATTCTTGAATGCAAAATTGATGATATGCTCTGTAAATCTTCACCCAATACTCATTGAAAATTAAAAAGGAAGTAAACCCCTCATAACTGAGATGCTCATTCCAACAATTAATAGAAAATAAAGATCAAAATAGAAAAATTGATGGCAGATTATTTTCAATCCAGTTCTTTCCCAAAATTACCCCAAATATCCCAATTAGGTACAAGAAAACATATGTCACACACCTTCACGAATCACTTCAGTTATTGTTTCACCTTCTTTAACCACTCTGAATTCAGGGTCACCTTCGAGTCTGACCTTTGTTATTGTAGGTCCTGAGACATTATTTCAGGAGACAAATGATCATGTTAGAAGCAATCCTTTGCATGTAATCAGAACAGAACATTTACATCAATGCTCAGTGTGACTTACATACCTAAGTAATTTCAGGTTTTTAAAATCAATTTTTAAAATTTGTCTTAAAATTAGTCAATATTTATGGGCAGAAATGACTCCGTTTACTGATGTGCTACTAAATTAGCTTGCATCTGCATTTAAAGTAATGGAAAAGTATATTCAGTGGTGATGGTAAATTATGGATTATATAAAATACTACATGTGGCAGTCCAACATACTCTGTGAATTCTACAGCATGGACACATGGGAGTTGCTCTAATCATAATGCTCTTCAAAGCTTGGTTCCACTGACCATGGCCCTGAGAGTGTAATGGGGTGGGCATTGGGTTGTAAACTTCAAGTTGCCAGTTCAAACCCACCAGCTGCTACATGGGAGAGAGGTGAGGCTTTCTGCTCCCTTCCAGAATGACTGCTCGGAAACCCCAGGGGCAGTTCCACTCTGTCCGACAGAGTAGCCATGAGTCACAATCAACTCGATGGCAGTGATTTTAAGTTTGCAATGTGAAGACAAGTGAAGACCTGACCTTCAAATGTACATATCAAATATACTTAATTTAATTTTATATGACTCAGTATATTATCATTTTAATCTAAAACAGGGATGGGACTGGATATAAGAAAATGTCAACTTTAGGTCTACCTTTAAGACACCAAGTTTCAGGTCTTAGGGGAAAAATGACTTAAAATACTTACCTTCTACCTGGAAATTGTGCAAAAATGGACTAATTAATAATTGAACAGTCCTGTAATGTAAGAGCTAAACAACACTGTATTTGACTTGCAAAATGATTTTGCTCCAGGAGAAAATCATTTAAATGTTAGAAAGCCAATTGCTATATTAGGTAATCAAGACTATTTCATAGAAAAGAAGAAAAATAGGGTTCAGTACATTTAACTCATACTGTAATACCCTTCAGTAATTGAATGCCATTATTATTATTATTAATTTTTGATATGATTTATTTGCTTGTCCAGAAAATGTCAATGTACACCATTACCCAGCGCTAAATAGTATAAAATGATCTAATTAATGAAAAGAATACAGTTTTTAAAACTATAAATATTTCACATCATAATATTTGCTCGATGGGGCAGCCAAAATGATTTGACTCTCAAATTGTAAAGCCAGATTCATAAGGTCCTACAAAATCAGAAAGAATATCTGCCTAAGGAATTTAAAGATAAGAATCAGCTAATAAAATAACCAAACTAATGTTATTTTAGAAAAATCTTAGTTGAAATTTCAGAAAAATTAAAATGTAAGTTCTATGAAAGCAGGTTCTTTAGAAATTAGTGTTTTCACATTGATTCTCAGCACATGGAGAGTAGACTGAGCAAGGGATACTCAATACGTATCTCAAATTGAATTTCAGTTGTTTTTTCATAAGTATGAAGTTTGGTTAAAAACGGACTTAATTTTTTTTCTTGGGGTCTCATTTATTAGTAAGAATTTAGTCATCAGTGAATCTGCAGAAGTTCAATGAGAAGGAAATGCTAGTAATCTTCTTAGAAGTTAGGCAGTTATGAATGGATGTAAAGGTATTTGCTTCCTTCATTATGCTAACCAGAAATAGAACTTCTGAATTTTTGACTGTACGAGTTATTAATGAATAGGCGACACGATACCATTTTAAATCTATAGCCTCTTTTTGGAAGAGCCTACTGCAGTTTCAAGTATGTTAATGGCAGAGAGATGAAAACATGTAGAATCCTACTAACAAAGATTGGGACGATTAATAAGGAAGAATGAAATAGAAAGAAAATTTTGAAAATAAGAACAGCACAAATGGATCAGTTCAGTCATGGAAACTGTGTTCAAGTGATAGCATTTCAGGAACTCTGATTTTTAGACAAACTAACTCAGATATTTGAAATGGAGCATAGTATTAAGTATTATTTGTTCTTTTTAACTAAAATGATCAAGAAACATTCCTTAATTAAAAAAGTCATAATTTGATTTTCTTCTTAAAACATCAAATTTTCTTTATCAATATGTGAAAATGATCAAATAGTCATAGGTATAGTATTAAAAATAGATAAGCACACATTTCAAAGAATAATCAAATCTTAGGTCTCAAAGGTAGCTGATACTATAGATAACTAACTCATGATGATATAAGCTTTGACCTGGTTGTGTCCAAAGTTTAAATTTTAAGTCAAGTCTTGCTTTAAAAGTCAAGTCTTGTAGCACAAAAGCATTACCGAAATTGCCATCCCATTTCACATTATGAGAAGAAATACAAAAATCAAAGATGATTATAATAATGGTTTGGATAAGATTTAATTAAGTACATTCTAATTACTTTTTTAGAAGACTATTTGCATTATGGCATGACGATGATAACCAGGTTTTTCTCGGTGATAAGATACCACAGCAAAGAACCTGAACCTGGTAATGGAAAATTCTTAAGGTCGGATTTTTGGAGATGGGTGAACTAGATGAATGAAGACCGCAGCGAGGGTGTTGCTGTGGCAGTGTATGAAGAGAGAAAAGGAATTGCTTGTCCAGCATCTAATCTAAAGCAAGAATGAGAAGTGGGATATGGATTCAAAGCTGGGATTGTGGTTGATACAGTGTACCACGTTTTTATTTCTTCTGCTGCTCTCTTACCGACTTACTACTGCTTCTATGCTGTATGATAGGAGCCCTGGCGACTTGGTGGCTTCAGATTGCACTAAGATCAGTGGTTTCAACCCACCAGCCACTCCAGAGGCGAAAGAGGAGGCCATCCACCCCTATCATGACTGATCGTCTCAGAAACCCAAAGGGGCAGTTTGACTCTGTCCTATGGGGTCACTCTGAATCTGAATTAGTTCTATGGCATTGAGTTTTGTTTTTGGCTTTTGGATGCTGTATTAGGATACAGAATGAAAACAATAACAAAATGCTCTTGTAGTTTTTATAATAGTACTAAAGGGATTCATGCCAGGAGATTCAAAACAAGGCTATAAAGTGGTTTATGAAAGCTTTCAACTACAGCAAAAAAGAAAAAAAAATCCAGGACGTATTTGTTTACTGAATGTCTGGGTACTAGTGATAATGCACAGTCAATTAGATTCAAATTAAATTAAGTACCAGCAAATGTACTGAAAGTATTAGGAATGCACCATAGCACCATCTACTATGCTAAATAATTTGCATTCTGCATTCTACATTCTGCAATTACATGAGCATGCCATGGATATAGAATGTTTAGCATGTTAGTTTCAAAAAGAACATAAATGCATTCATAGAAATCCATCTATGGTATGCATTTTCTTTCACAGTTACAAGGAACTGTGATTAACATTGGTGTTTACCTTCCATTTTGATAATAGGTTGAAGACTGCCTTCAATCACTTTAAATTTTGGCTCCACAATTTTGGTAATAATTTTAGTTGCTGAAAAGCATAGAAAGTGTAATATGAATGATGTTTATAGTAACATAAATTGAAATAATGTGTCCCTTTTCCCTTTGTTGTTGAAGAGTGCACTGAGTGATCAGCTGTGGAAACATATTTAGGCAGTCATATGTGGACACTGTTTATGAACAATTATTTATATCTTATGTCAAGATGCTGAACTCTGAATTACAGTGGCTTGGAATTGTCCCAGGGAAAATATGTGCTCAGTAAATGAGGACTTCTAGCTAGAAACCAATCCATTCTGAATGGTACTACTAAAATCTTTTACCTTCATTTGTACCTCTTGAAAATATTGGCTGCATAGCAACAGAAGACAAATAAACATAGTTAATTTTATACAATTCATAACATCTAAAATTACATGGTTAGAATCTTGTTCATTTCCAAGGGGAAAATGACAGAAAAAGACTACATATATTTTTTTTGTTTTTTTCCCATGCATTCGAGAAATGAAAATAGGAAAAATAGTTCAGAATACTTAAAAATAAATTTTAATTAGCCAGACATAAACTCTACACAACAAAAATGTATGATTAGCATTTCAAGTTCCAAGATTAAATGCCTTTGTCTTTTCAGTTCCATTATCCATTTGTTTTAAATTTTTAAATATGAATTTTAAATTTATGTCATGTACTTAAGTTGGATAATACTGTGCAGGTTTTATTTAAAATGAAAGCCATGTGGTTGACTTTTGGTTATATAGGTTAATAGAAAAGGTGCCTCTTACACTTTGCAACTTCATTTACTGACTTTGAGGCATTTTTAATTAGAAGGTTTAACAAGGACTCCATTAGACTAGAGGGTTCCACAGATGTTGATGGTGTTAGGCTAATTAAAGATGAGACGTAAGCACACTTTGTGTTTGTGTGGTATTCTCTCTCAGGTTTCAGAGATATTTAGCTGCCCGAGCTTTTTTGAATGAACTTGGGAGCTTAATTGAGACTACACTTTAGTCGTTTCAGATCTGTATCTTGAGATCTCAAGTTATGACGCTCTAAAATTTCTAAAATATACTGAAACCGTTTCCTTGATTCTTCCACCATATATTAACTTAGAACTTCTCCCTAAAGGTAAAATTCATAGAGGTCTCCATTACATTTATCATCGTGGTTAATAATTTTGAGCTTAATTTTTACCTATGTAGAAAGCTGGAGGGTTAGCATGCTTAATTAGTTGGTGTATTTGTCTTAATATTGCTTTTACGAAGATCTAAAGGGTTTTAGCAGGTTATTGGTGAAAATTAAATAATTGATCTTCAATTCAACAGTTATTCTGTGTTACAACACACTGATCCACTAGAGCGCATTTCTTCCTCATCCAGTCTCAAATTCATGGTTTTGGGTAATACAAACGTAATACACAAGGAAATTCTAGGAAATTGGGAGAAAAGTCAACAAAGGAACACAGATTGGAATCTGTGGTTTAATTAGCGTCTACCTCGATGTGATGTATGCTCCTAAAATAACAGTCTGCCCCCAAACATTGCACATTGCACGTAAATATCAGAGCTGTTTCCAGAGGCATAAGTAGGTAGATGGGACTCATTAGTCTTGAATAATTTCATAAAGTTCAGCCATGCTTAATGAGTGTGTATCCAACTTTAATAGAAGTACATACAAGGATGATAAAGATACTCTCTCTCTCTTTATATATATCGAGGAAGATGTCATACATTTCTGATGAATAGAGTCCATGAGGATTCTTTATGAAATATAATTTTAATAAGATCATATACTTTCACACTAGAATATGTATCATTGTGAAATACATTCACTGCAGCTGATCTTTGAGCATGGTATGTATTATTACACAATTAAAACCATAAGAGCAGCAGAAGCCATTTTGTTTTGCCCTTTATATTGGCATTATCCTCTTACAATAGAGGGTGCAAATCTTTAGGAAAAATTTCTTCATTAAATAATTGAAAGTTCATGGTATGAAAGAGTCCTGTTTTAGCCAATAAATGTCAGAATCGAACTAATATTTTAGCTCCTGCTGTATTGTGAGTAGGCGCCCTGGAGGAGAAATGGTCATGAACTTGGCTGGAACCTCAAGGTCACCAGGTTCTCCATGAGAGGAGGATGAAGGTTTTTGACCCGGGTGCACAGTTAGTCTTAGAAACCCACAGGGGCCACTCTAGCTTGTCTATAGGGTCTCTATAAGTTGGAATCAACTGGATGACTGATTTTTTTTTAAAAAAAGTTATTTTGAGTGTTTAATTTTAGAGTCAAAACAAAATGAAAATTATTTCTGCTTTTGAAGGCTGTAACGGAAACAGAAAAAGGACAAAAGAAGAAAAATACAACGAAAAAGAGAACATATACATTTTATAACGGAATAGGATCGATGGTCCTTATTTTGCTAATCTAGACGTCTCAGAGGTGGGGGTGGGGAATCTAACTATGTCAAATTTATCAACTGACAAGACGTTTTTTCAGTTCCCCCTTTAGAGATGGAAGAGATTGATTAGGTGTTGGATTGCTAACCTGAAAGGTGGGCAGTTCAAAACCACCAGCGGTCCCATGGGAGAAAGAGGAAACTTTCTACATCTATGGAGCATTACATTCTCAGAAACCCACAGGGACAGTTCGACCTTACCCTCTAGGGTCACCATGAGTTGGAATCAAGAATTCTGAGGGTGTTGATCCCACTGAGGTATTTTGGTGTGTTTTTTTGGGGGGGTGGGATGCTGTTGAAAATTTTAGTTGGGAGAAAACTTTCTAACCACAGTTCATAAGCACAATTCTTGGTCACATCCCCTTCCACCCTGCCCTGAGATCACTGGGTTGAAGAGTGAATGAAGGACAATCCCTTCCTTCAGCTGCTTTGTTTCAGAGTCCATGCGTGTGAATTTTCAGATAGCTCCGTAGGGCTCTTTTTGCTCTATCTCCCTTCCCTTTTGTTTGTCTGTCTCTCCTTTGTTTCTCTCTTTCTCTACTGAGCTCGCCTTTATAGTTTACAGCCCCAGTGGTGCAGTGGTTATGCATTGGGCTCCGATCTGCAAGGTCGGCAGTTCGAAACCACCAGCAGTGCCATGGGAGAAAGAGGTGACTTTCCACTCCCCTTAAGAGTTAAGGTCTCAGAACCCCCGGGGGCAGTTCTACCCTGTCCTATAGGGTCGCTGAGTCAGCATGGACTTGGTGGCAGTGACTTTGGTTTTTGATCTCAGACCTTATCACTTCTGACTTTGGGGGATGGGGCGGTTATAGAATCTGTCAACTTGTGAAGGGGTGGAGTCTAGCCTGTCAATCAGGTCACACCTTGATGACCTCATTTGGAAGCAAGAAGGAGATCTTTCTTCTACACATATGAGTGCCCTGGATTTCTTTCTCCAGTCAACCCAGACTAACACAGGGTGCTTAAGAAAAGAGTAAGGCCAAGACTGAGAGCTCTTTCTCCACCCAGACTTCAAACCCTGTCTCAAGTGGGAGGTACCATTATTTATGATCCCAAGTATGCGAATATCAAGAATCTCTATTTGTAAATACAAAGGAAAGTATCATTATTGCTTTATGTCTTCCCATTTAAATTTGACAGAGGTTCATTAGGTACTTACTGTAGACAGTCATGGGGATCTCTTTGAAGGAACTCCCCCGGACAAACTGAAAGTAAATGTTGGGTTTAGTTCCACCATTGCAGCACTGATCTTAAAAAACAATATTATTTTAAATCTCATTAAACTAAAAGTAATGGAGTTATCATGACATCTAATAGAAATAAAGTGAAGTTTCCATAGAGAGCATCTTTTTCTTCTTTTATATATATTTATATCTTTTCTTGCTACTTTTCTAGATGAGAATAAACAGATTTGTTTATCTATAATAATTTATTAAATAATACATTCCTTATTTTTTTCATTGATATGATGAGGAACAAACTGTTTCTGCCTTTTAATTCTGTCACTGGCCACAATTTTTATAAAAAAAACACATCAACTTCTTTAATTTTTGGTAGCAAAAGTATTTGATAATAGGAAGATTTATTTATTTATGTACCTATTTGACAGTCAATATATGGGGTAAAGGGCCATCTCTTATTGAAATTAATATTTTTTTCATAATATTTTAAATACTGACAGGTTCCAAGTAGCTTTTTTTGCAGATATTTGCTGAATGAAATCATGGATATATTATGTTGTTGCTTCTTTACAGGTGGGCCATTTTTTTAAAAACAATATTTTAGTGTGTGTAAGGTAAAAATTTGCATTGCAAAGTATGTTCCCGTTTAACAATTTCTACACAAATTAGGAATGTTGGTTGCATTTTAGTTGAAAATAGATATGATGGCAGTGAGTTGGGCGTTTTTTCAATCATCATTCTCATTCATTCCAGTCTAGTTGTACCATTTCTGGTGGTCTAGTTTCCCTACCTGCTCACCTGTTTATTTCCTTTAATGTGCCTTTCTTATCTTTTGCTTTACTGTGTTTTTGACTCTTTGGTCTCTTAGTGATGGTTTCTTTAGAAGTTGATTATTCATGAATGATATTCTTCATTTATGAGTCAATCTATTATTTCACTAAAAGGTGACCTCAAGGGATGATTTTGGCTAAGTTTTAAAGAGTATTCCAGGATGATAGAATGGGGGAGCCCTCTAGTCTCAATTTGTTGATCAAGTATCTCTCTCTCTCTCTTTGTATCCTTGCTCTCTTTTTTCCTCTCCTACTGTACCTCTGTCTCTTAATACATAGATTTCTGGTTTACTATGTCAAAATATTAAACACAAATCCAGTATTATTTTGTACCTTAATTTGGATATATTTGATCAGTTTATTAAGTATTGATAGCAGCTGATCATTTCCAACTGGTGTGTCTGTGAAGAGAAGAATTAAATGAATATCGTTACACAAATATGAAATAAAGATATAGGTGCCAATTGGAAAGAAGAAGAAGAGGAATAGAGTTCAACAACTACTGACCTGCTGGATAGAGGAGCTTATCTACAACATGAATGACACCATTTGTTGTCATGATGTCAGATTCTTTTGATTTCAATTCATTCACCAGAAGTGTATCATTAACCTATTGACACAAGGAGGTAATGTCAATGAGACATGTAATGGAGAATTATTATTAAGAAAATGTGTAGATTATTCAATGCTATTTATGCATTTTTTTTCTTGACAACTTACTCCTTTCACAAAAATTTTGCTTCCTTGTGTCGTCTTTAGGATGTTAGTAACACCAGGTTCAAATCCCTTTCCAATGAAAATGCCTGGAGTCAAGTGGTAAAGAATGATGTTCTGAAGAGCATTTTTATCCCCTATGGGAAAAAGAGACGTATTTATTTACTGTTGTCGCACACATTGTAACACTTAGATACTGCAAGGACCCTGGAGCAAATGTTTGGTTTGTCTTTATTTTACCACACTCTATTATTTCTCTAACATCAGGGTACTCTAAATTTGATATCAATATTAATACCCTAACAAAACAGTTAGTTATTTCAATAAGATCAATAAAAATATTACCCAACTAACTGAGAGAACAAAATCAAATTATTAAAATTATGAGAATTGCCTTGTCTTTTATCTAATTGTATGATCTTTCATGAAAATGACAAGGCTAACAACACCTTGACATGCTAGCTGTCTTTGAGCTGTCTTCAACCCATTGAAACCCTATGCAGAACAGGATCAAATTGTTGTGATCCAAGGGACTATTCTATTGGAAGCAGATCACAAGGCCTTTCTTCCTAATCTGTCTTAGTCTGTAATTTCTGCTGAAATCTACTGAATATCATAACAATATTCAAGCCTCCATTGACAGATAGTGGTGATTGTGCATGAGAAAATATACATTGGCCCAGAATAAAGAATCAAGCCTTTTCTATAAAAGACAAGAATTCCATCATTGACCTACCACTGACCTGTAACAGTATGATAAGAAATTATTTATTAAGATCATTAATGCTTGACTTCCCACTTATCCCAAGAGAGATGAAGGAAACTGAATATCAACCAATAATATAAGTTTTACCTTCGAGCCTCACATCTGACCTAAAAGATGAATGGAAATGTCACAGGCCGGGATCACAGGGCACATGTCTGGTAATCCCTCTACTCACGGATCAGAATTTCCTTTTCTTCATTAGTCATTCCCTTAAAGGCATCATTGGTTGGTACAAATAACGTCCAGTCTCCTGGTTGTGTCAGAAGATCTTTCATGTCTGCAGCTTCAAGTAGGCTGAGGAAGATGCTGTACAAGGAGGGCAAAGGTATATGTTCCTAGTTAAAAAATTTTTTTAATGGGCTCACCTGAGTGTCGATCAAAAGCTGTGTGAATAGACAAAATGCAGTGGATACAAACCATGAAATATTAATCAGTTTTAAAGAAAAATGCTATGACATTGGTGAACCTTGAAAAACTTATGCCTTGAAATAAGTCAATCACAAAAGAGCAAACACTGTATCATCTCACTTACATGAAATAACAAGAAGAGACAAGTGTATAGAGACCAATGCATTTCGGTGGGAAACTGGGTAGAAGGAGGGTGCATGTGTGACCCTTGTTTAGGAAACAGTGAGCATGTATGGTGCTAGAAAATTGGGCAACCATTATGGGTAGTGGTTATTTACAACATGGCTAATGCAATCAACACCACCAAACTGTACACCTTAAAAATTGTACTGAATCGGCAAGTGTTGTGCTCTACATGCTTTTACAACAATAACAATCACTACTGTGTTCACCCACATGAATAATTACTGTATTCATGCATTAACATGAATACACTAATTACAGAAAGCATGAAAACCCATTTTCATTTATTTCAAAAGCCATTTACTTCTTATGAAATTGGTATCATAAGGAAAGTATTGAGCTATACATTATAATGCTTAGATTTCTCAATCTTAGCATTTCATGTATCACAAAGCTGCCATCTTTTCAGATTTAATATTCTATGAAATATTTGCTAATATATTCCATCATTGTATTAAAGAGGAATTGAAGAGGTATTAAAAGAGGCCAGCAGCTTTTAAAATTTGTTTTTGTCTTGTCTCACAAAATCATGACTTGTTGTATGCAGAAAGCAAAAGAAATTGTGTTCAAAACATAGTTCAGGTTTGAAAGCATCCACACACCCTTCTAAATTATGGTGTTAGCCAAACAAGAGGCTGAATGGCTTTTGTGATATTAACTGAGCAGCAACCAAAAAAGCCAATTGGGCCATTCTTTTGTGGAAGTTGAGCTGCCAAAAGCTCACCTAAAGCGCTTGTCCTGTTTCAGTTTTTCGTGCAGGGATTTCTCCGCCGGCTTGATGATCTCTCGGAATATGTGAATAGCACCATTTCTTCCTTGCTTGCTTCCTCTCACCATGCAGGAATTTTCAATGCAGACAGCCTAGCAAGGAAAAGAGTGATGTCTTACACTGAGACATGGAATAGCACCATTTCTTCCTTGCTTGCTTCCTCTCACCATGCAGGAATTTTCAATGCAGACAGCCTAACAAGGAAAAGAGTGATGTCTTACACTGAGACATGGCATAATAAAAATAATTTATAAATTATCAAGGGTTCAAGAGAAAGGGAGGGCGGGGGAGGGAGGGGGAACTGAAAAGCTGCTACCAAGGGCTCAAGTAGAAAGAAAACGTTTTGAAAATGATGATGGCAGCAAATGTACAAATATGCCTGATACAATAGATGATGTAGGGACTGGGGTAAGAGTTGTATGAGTCACCAATAAAATGATTTTTTTTTAAAGGAAAGAAAAGAGAGATATATGTTCTCCATTTCCTTACTTCAAATGTCCTATGTGAATATAGACGAATACTTAAATTTCTAGACTGACGCCCTCTGACCTCTTAGTCCAGAGTAAATAGGAGTAGCTTTTTCCTGTTTTGAATCTGATGCTACACGTCTTACGCAAATAGGTTTTCTACTGCTAGCAGAAAGGCCACCTTATGCTTCTGGCATTTAGCTTTGTCAGTAATTTCTGACAATCTCATAGACTTCATTTCTAGTTTCTAGAATTCTCTCTGATGTCTAACTGTTCCTCCTAAATTCTTTTTACAAAGTCGGACCACTTGGCGTCGAGTGGCATTCAACTCCTGGGGACCTCGTGTGGCAGAGCGGCCGGGCTCCGGGGGTCTGCAACGGCTGTGATCGCTCAGAAGCAGGTCACTACACCTTTCTTCTGATGTATTTCTGGGTTGGTTGGAAACTGATCTTTTCAGTTAGTAGTTGAATATTTCAAAGTGTCCACCACCCAGGGACTTGCCACCATCTCTTTTAAGTCAATAATAATATAAAAGTTTCCAGGGGCACCGGTGCCCTCTGTGGTCTTTTACGGCTTTAGATTCAATTGAACAAAATTTACTTTAATGTCTTGACTATATGATCTAGTCAACTTTAAATCAAATCCGAGATTTAGTGACAGCTTGTGACTATATGTTTATGCATGAGATTGGCCATTTTTCCCAATCATTAAAATTGCATGTGTTGGTAAAATTGATTGTGGTGATGATGGTACAATTTTGAAACATATGATTGAACTATTGAATTCTATGATATGTGAATTATAAGCAAATAAATTTGTTAAAGCATGTGTTAGAAGAATGAGAATATAGTGACATGCAACTGTGTGTCACATACAATTCTAGATAAGCCTTGGCTTCTAATGAATTTTATAAGATAGTAGCTGCATATGTCATCTGGACAGAAAGTGGGTAGTACCACTGGTTGTACTGTATTTTTAATATATTCTCTTGGTAAGGATTTTGTAGAAATTTGCCTCCAGATAAGGATACATTTGAAGCATTTTATAGGCTCCAAGAATCATCTCTATACCTCTGTAATCTTCAGTGTAATCTGAAAAGATTAAATTGCTGAGTAAAATGTGTTATAAAGCCTCTTGGTTAAGAAGAGCATCCTACATATTTAATTCTAATGTTCTGCCAACCAACTGTTTGTGAGGCATTTTAGTGCTTTCTGAACTTAAAATAAGTGATGCTGCATAACAAGTTAATTTATAATAAAATGGGTGAAAATTATCTGAATTATTAATGCACAACATTTTTGGTACACTTTCCAAATAGTGTCTTTTCATCCAAAATTCAATTCCCTGATCTTCCTGTGACTATTGTTAAAGGCACACCTAAGTGTTCTGAGAAACAACCTTCGTTGACACACATCTGTGCTTCGACATTTTTGTCAGTGCGGCCACTTTGTCTCGCTCGGAATCACTTACTGTACGATACACGAAGACTCGGAGCTGTTTGCCTCCAATGGTCTCAAGGGTTTGTCCATTGTAAAGTTCATTCAGGTCAACTTTCACCTTCAATATGTGATTCTGCAAAATTAATTTAAGAAGGCGCTGATCCATTCTCAGAGTCTCATCTATAAATAAAAAAGAGAGCATTATTATGTTTCAAAAGTATTACACTTCCCCTTATAAGAATGAAATCAGGAAGATGCCCTGGAGTCGCTTGATATTATAGATCCTACAGTCATATAATGCATGGGTCAATTAAAGGCTTAAGGTTTGAAATTCTCTTCACCAGTTGAAAAATTGTGAGCTGGCATGTCCAGTGACCAGAACATTGTCTTGATCAGCTCAACCAGTGCACTTAGTCTCTGAAAGGGCTATATGGTTGTATGGTGGCCATCGGCAATACCCAAATATTACTGCTGGCCGAACTTTTCCTGAAAATTAGATATCTACGCAACACATCTATTCATTTCTGTCCAGTAGATATTCAATGGACTTACTTTTGATGAATTATTACAAATGCGTCTTTTATTATTGGGAATAGAAGATACACAACCTCTTAAAGGTGTGTTGGTGCCAACATATACGAGCATCACTATCTCAAAGAGGAACGCAGCATTGACAAGGATTCTTTTCTAACAAATAGTTTTCTACTTCATAATTTCATATTTGAAAAATGTTTTTTGATGTTGGTATCAAAGAAACAAACTCGATTTATTTTTCTTCAGATTTATTAATGCAGTGATATGAGTGCTGGAAATACGATTATCTTCACAGAACGACTGGATTCCCTATATCATAAACTTTCACTCCCTAGTGATTCATTTCACCCCCTATTCATTATCATGAAACTGTTGGCATGAAGTACAGGCTGATAGAGACAGCATCGTTCTCACACATTGTATATGTTGCACATGCAGCAACTTATCAACCCCTGGCAAAACTTCTGTTATTTCTTAGGGCAAGTGATCAAAGGGCGGTGGCAAGTTGTGGGAGGAAGAAGAGCAAAACAAAATCCAGACATACCAGAAAATGCATTATTCACAGGTGCCAGCAAAGTATATTGTCCTTCCGGCCTTAGAGAAGATGCCAAGCCTAATTGGGCCACCAGATCTGTGAACGTGGTTTGCTGATTTCCAGCCAGCTCAATGACTTGCTTGGCTGTAAAAGAAACCATCCCCATCACATCACTGTCATCAGTGTTGTTATCATCACGAGAAGAGTAGTAAATACATTCTTGGCTGTTTTCTCATATGACAAGCTATTTATCGCATCAATGTCATGACGTCTTGCCTTTCCCGTAAAACAGGGTATCGGCTTCCCTTTTACGGAGTTGATAAACCACAAAACATTTCAGAAGGAGAATACCTCTTTTTTTCTCATCTTCCATTTTCTTTTTCCTCTGTTGCTCAACGTGCTTGGTAAAGTAGAGGGGCAAAGAAAAGGGGGCAGGTTCTCAGCAAGCTAGATGGACACGTTGCTGCAACAATGGATGGGCCAGGGCTTCTGGTGTGCATAAGGTGCCTCTGGGTCCACACTGACTTGATGATACCTAACAAATCATCAACCACAAATATCCTCTACCCTTGTGAATATCACAGCTTTCATTCATCCAAATCTACTTGGTTGTATCCTTACTTGTTGTTTACTCAAAAAACTTCTGGTCACTGTGAGAATCTTTATGACTGCTGCTGCTATGGTGAGTGGCCACCAAGTTGGCTCTGTGTCGTGGCAGCCCCACAACCAACCCCAGTCTTGTCCCGTCCCCTGCATCATTCGTTTGCCTAAGTGCACTGTGGCAACCATTGTGCTTTTAGAGTGTCCTTCAGTCTCCGGGGTTCATTGTTCAGTATACTATTGAACAATGGCTGTTGTGGTCCCTTGGTTGCCATGGTTAATTGTCAGAAATAGATCACCAGGATTTCCTTCCTAGTCTTCCAGCTCTACTCAAACCCACCCACAATGGATGCCCTGCTAGTATTCAAAGACCACTGGTACAGTTCGCAGCATCACCGTAAGCTATCACATTATGGCAAGGGGACAGAGAGGTGGAGGTTTATAAATGTTAGGCCTCAGTAACCCAGGAAAGCCAGTATTCCATTTATGGACTGTGACTACACGGCCCCCAGTTCACTATTTACTTCTTGTGTGCGCCTCACATTCCATTCTTTATACTGCACATCCATAATTCATGCACTTCCTGGGAGTCACTCTTGAGGCACCATACTTGGTCAATAGCTTTTAGAAGCAGAATATGAAAGCGCTGCTCACCAGAATCAGGGATCAGGACCTCATCAATCAAATGGATGACACCATTATTTGTCACAATGTCTTTTTTGTTCACCATTTTGATTCCATTGACTGTTATGCTGTCACCATCACATCCAATTTCAATGGTGTTTCCTTCCAGGGTCTCAAAGACAGCTCCACCCATAATGGCCTCCGAACACTGGAGCGTGTTTAAGATGTGATACTTCATCAAAGCTGGGGGGCAAGATAAGAAGAACGACCACTCAGATCAAAGGGAATGGAGGCCATTTACTCTGAAAAGAACTGTCTCATTATGAAGGGAGCGAGCACGAAGATGTTCAGTCACTATCTAAGACCTAAGGGTGGACTGTATGCTGATCACGTCTTCTTGCTCAGGTTTTGGAATATGTTGCTTGTCGTTGCTTGTTTACTTGTCGTCAGCCACGCGACAGCAGCATTTCAACTCAACGTGATGAGGGGAAAAGTGACCATCCGCTTAAGGTAACCCTTTGTTCAGTGGTGGAAAAATGTTGGGCTGAATGTGGTAGGTCAAATTTCAGCTAACAGAGTAAGGTATAGTGAAGCAGAACAATGTAAAAGCAATATGGATTACTGTCTCACAAGACCTGAAAAGCTATTTATTATTGACAGCGCAGTTGTTTCTGACTCATGGTGATCCCAAATATTTCAGAGACCTGTGTTACAGATAGCTTTCAATGGTTGTGACCTTTCGTAAATAGAACGCCAGCCCTTCCTTCTGAGTGAATTCTAATCACAATCCTATTGGTTCGTGGCCAACAGTATTAATCATTTTACCACTCAAGGATTAATTGTTCCCAAATGCCTAAACAGTATTTTGCATTAACTGTTTATAACAGAACATCTATATGTGATTTGTAAAGAGCATTTTAACAGAAGTCGAGGATAATTCCTTAAAGGCCAAATCTAGAAGACAGCTCAAATGAAGATAATTTCTCTAAGGATTCTGATGATTTGGAGGAATCCATTCAGAATTATGTCGACATTTAGGTCTTTAACACTGATTAAATGTGTTTTTTAATCAAGAGTAAAAGAAGTATGGTAAACAGTGTATAAAATATATTTTAAAATAGAGAATTTGGAAAGAAGTCAAATTTTTCTGTATAATCCTAAGTAAGCACCCAAGAGAATCATGCAGTTCCCTCAATTCAAGTATCATCTAGCATTAAGAATTCAAAACATTGTCTAAAATGCTTATTGAATAAAATTTTGATGAGATCGTATTTATTTTTAACTCGTGTTTTCAGTGACTGCTGAACATGGGTCACCATAGGACTGTGACCTGTAGGATCGTCTCACTAGTTAAGAATTACAGTCTATCACCTCTTTCAAGGGTTAGCTATTGAGAGTTTTTATTATTCATCTCAGAACAAAGCCTGTTCTTTGTCTTTGCTTATCAAAGCATTGGCATGAATGGATCTTAAAATTATTTCCTGTTCTTCCCAAAATTTTAGGAGGTTTTTGAGAGGGGACAGTTCAGTACCTTCAGATGCCACTTTGTCACCCATGATCCTTTCTAGGACACCCCGTGGGAGTTTCTCAAAAGCCTCATTGGTGGGCGCAAAGAGGGTAAAATGACCGTCTCTTCCAAGGGCCTCCAAGATATCAGATGTGATAGCGGCTGCCTGAAACACAAGTGCATGTTTTAGATGCTTTCCTATTGCAAATCCCAGAGAGGACAGCAACACACGGCGCCTGTCCACATCTGGCACTTGTTCTTTGCTGAAGAAGTCCCTTCTTGCTAGAGCTTTACAACATTCCCCTCTTTGGGCACAAACAATTGTGATGTCTAACTTTCCTGATATTGTTTTCAAGAATGGGAGTCCTGCCAATGTTTGTGTGACTCCAGCAGTAACCAGCGGTTCATGTCATACTTGAAGGGGGCTTTTTTCAAGGCGTTAGGTTTTCCCGTTGCCGTACTTAACCTTTTTTGTTCAGGGTTCCTTAATTTTTTTTTTTTTTTTTGTTGGGGCCTTTTTCCTTGGTTAAATTTAAAGCCTTATTGCAAGAAATACATTTCATACACTTCGGCCAGATTTATTTAATAACATCTTTATTGTTATTAGACTTTGATAGAGAAAAAAGAAGCATTTCAAAACTTGAAGTCAATCTACTATTACATCTTGTACTTACTCTAAAGGATGAGAGGTCATCCTCGGCTTCAATGAAGTCTTGAATGGAGGTGCCAATTTGTGTAAGGACACGGTCAATGACATGTACAACACCGTTTGTTGCGATCTGGTTCCCGTGGATGATTCGAGCACAGTTGACGGTGACAACCTGTCAATTTGTTTGACAATCAAGGGTAAAATAGTCAGTTAAGCAATAACCACTGACAGTACAAGCTCCTCCAAGTTTTTTATTTGTAGTAATAAATGTAACATGAAGGACCTGCTGTTTTGAATATTCGTGCTAAGGGTGAAGAGTTACATATTGGTTTGCTGGAAAGAAAAAAAAAAGACATAGGAAAATAAGACCACTTGAGAACCCATTTAACTTATCTAAAATTATATGGGACACCTTTAAAAATGTGCTCTTTCAATAGCAATAATCACTGTTTTTATTCTCTCTTTTTAATAGAGATAACCGTGAACTATTTTAATGTACATGAGTGCTTTATATAAAGAAGTCTAATTAATTCCTAGAATAAACTCTGCGTAAATATGATTGGTTATATTTCAAATACTGCCTCCTACTTAGTCCTTTTTCTCCCCTTGACATTTTATTGTTGAATGAGCCTGTGCTCCCCTTGGCAATTTCCTAAAAAGGCTTTCTTATCCAAAAATGCCAAGAGCCCTATCAGTAGACAATCCAGATACTGAATCATATATATTTTCTGAATAGAAAGTGTATTTAAACACATTCGCTACTAAACGTTTCTTTGTATGAGCATTAAGCCTACTGTCAATCAACTGTACCTCAAATTACTCTTTCACAGTTATTCTTTAGGGGTGAGCAGTCTCTACTCTTCTCACTATATTTATTATATCTCTGAACACTATGTAAAAGGTACAAACATTACAAAGAGGTAATTCAGAAGTACAATGTTTACTAATATTACATACCCCATTAGGATAATGATTAATGAAAAGGCCCAAATTATTGTACATAGAAGGAACCACCATGCCATTTTTTAAGTCCTTGGTCAGCATCCTCTTATTGACCATGTGGCTGTGTAAAGCATTCAACAGTTCGACATTCACATTGCTCTCCAAACCTCGACGGATATCCTAGGGAAAAGCGAGTGATGGAAGTTTACTGTATGGTTATTGATTCGTAGCGTTCTTAGACCCATATTGTGTCTATTCCTCTATTACTTTCTGATTGTTTTCTGACATAAATACCCTAACGTGACTTTACGCCAATCAATTAGGAATTTTTCAAATCCAAGTACCCAGTTAACAATAAAGAGTCTGATAGAGTTATTGCACATTACTAGTCTGACAGCCTTTGCGTCTGTCCGTAGGCAAAGTGAGTGTGTGCGCAGCAGGACAAGACACTGCGTGGCCTGGCACCATCTTCGTACTTGTTGCTGTGCTAGAACTTAGAACATCGTCACAGCCTGTGTCAGCCAGCTCACTGAGGTTCTTCTTTTTCTCTGGCCGGCTAGTTTAGCAAGCAAGGACTGGCTCCTCCTGAGAATGAGTCCAAGAACGTGAGATCAAGGTTCTCTGTCTCTGTTTCTAAGAAACATTTTGTTTAGACTTCTTCCAAGACAGATGTCTTCATTCTTCTTGCAGTGCAAAGTATCTTAGGCTGAGGAATCGAGAGACGCAAAAGCAGTGGAGCTTATATACTTACAAGGGCACTTCAAACAAATCGAAGAAATACCCCTTTGTCTTTAATATTCAAATTTTCCATGAACTATTTGAAGCCCCTTTGCATATATAGAGAAAATTAACTAAAGTGTTCATTAACTAAAAAGGTTCAAATGGTTGTAGAGGCTGTGAATTAGGTGTCATGTTGGAGGTAAGTCTCACATCTGTGAATCAGGTGTCATGTTGGAGGTTACTCCTGACTCACACAGCCACAGGAGTGGATGACTTAAGGAATAGAGGGTCAGATAGTAGGCTACTGACTCATGAGCTGCAGAGCCTGACAAATCCACCATTGGCAGGTAAGATGGTAATCTGTTGAGACACACAGGCTGCAGAGGTTAAGGGATATCAAGATAAACAGGAAGCACATCAGGCCACTGGCTCAAGTTCAAAGAACCAGAAGTGGCCAAAAGATAACAGTCCAGATGGAGAATCCAGATTGAATAAAAATCAAGAGAGGTTTGGCCGATCATCCATATATTGGAATCAGGTCATAGATTGGGGGAATTTCCTTTCAACTGACTGGTTACTCAGAGCAGATCTCATCATGGAAGTGATTACATTATATCAAAATCATCATGAGGAATGAATACATCCAAGGTGTAAAACCATTGGGAATAATGACTTAGCAATGTTGACATACAATCTTAGCCATCACAGATGATGTATTTAATGTTTCTGTCAACACCATAATTCAAAGGCATTGATTCTTCTTTGATGTTTTCAATTCATTGTTAGTTTCTTGTACTATTATATTTATCAGATGGCATTGATAGATGTTTTAAAGTTATATGAGACAACAATTAAGGGGACTTTAGTGACTCAGAAAGCAGTAAGTTATATATGTAATGGAAATTCACTGAAGATTTTACGCCATAGGAGCATAATGATTTAGTTTGGTAATGCTTAGCAGAAATGACAGTATTAGCTAGGAAACAGTTCAATCACTTTAAACTGAATATAAAATATGCCTCACTAACACTAATGGGAAAGAACTGGAAAAAGAAGAGGTAAAGATGACTGGCAATTTTCAAATCTGAACATTGAATGACTGATACTTTTCATTATGGAAGCAAAGAGCATAGGAGAGGGATTTTTACTGTAATTAAGAAAATGGAGAGTAATTTAGATAGCTTTTCAACTTAAATTGCAGATGAAACACTTAAAAATAAATTAAGATTTTCATAAGAAACATTCTTCTGGAATTCTAGGGAGAAACAGCACAAGAAATGCACATTTCATAGTTACGTACAGTTGAATGATAGTTGGAGCCCTCAGTAGTGTATATAGAGATGAGGTTTGCCTCCCAGGGGAGACTTTAATTACATCTATTCTTAAGGCATAAGGTAGGGGACTTATTGACAAGTGACAGCAATATTCTTAAAGCAGGGGGGTTAAAAAAAAGTCACACCAATGGCTATTGAGTTGATTTATCTTTCTGGATACAATACATTTTAATATTTGTTTCAAATACATTAAAATGAAATAATAGTAAAAATGATTATAATGAGAAAAAGAGTTACCGAATCCAAGTTGTCCCACGCTTCATTACTGGGTGCAAAGTAGGTGAATGACCCCTTTCCTTCTATCTCTTCCCTCAGTTTGGAGAGATCAGAATAGTACTGTGTTTTGGTCGCTCCCACAATGCCCAGAGTACCATAAACATGGTCAATAGGCATAACTGAAATAATCAAAACATTAATAAGGGGTTAGTGTAGTTTTTCCACAATATTATTTCTTTTACACTAAGTATCTTGATGCATTTAACTGTACAACTTAGCAATAACATTCTATGCACCAAATCTTTATGAAAGTTATCTTTGAGCATCAAATAATAAAGTATATTTTAAAACCATTATTTCATATACTCTCATGTTGAGGGAAATATATTTTGAATTATCATCTTAGTTTAGTTTATTTAGCTTTGAATTTTGATATGTCAAAACATTAAAAGTTTAATGTTTATGATTAGAAGTCTCTGTTTATTTCAATAGAAAAATAATGAGATATTATTTCTCTTCATTGAGAATAAGGACAATAATTTCTATCCTGTTGGCTGATAACCTTTAATCATATGATAAGGTTAGGTATAGGGATATAAATTTTATAATATTGGATCCCTAAAAGATATATATGTAGACCTGCTTCTTTTCATCCTAATTAGGAAAGAACTAAACAAAAGCGTGTAACTCTTCCAAAATCAGTCTGCACCTCAAAGGAAGAGTACATGGAATAATGTCGATGCAAAGGGGCATTAGGCATGACGACACAGTCAACTTAGTGTTGCCTCTTTAAGATTTGAAGATTAGTGTTATTTAGATCATATCATGGGAGGGACTAGTTATCACATTGGTGAATATCCCAAGACTTGATGAGGCAACTGAACATTTAACTGATAAAGTTAAGATTTAAAAAGATTTTAAAAGAATGAGGAAAATGAGTCAAAATTAACGAAATTAAATTCTGTTCTTAAGTCACACACACACACACACACACACACACAACCCCAAGACAGGCCCCAAGTTGATAGTATTCATGTTGAAGAAACCTATAGTTACTCTTACTTGATTTTAAACACCATATGAGCTAATAATAGGGCATGGTTATCAACTGCATTAATTGAAGTGAGTGAGTGTGAGTGTGTGTGTGTGTGTGTGTGTGTGTGTGTGTGTGTGTGTGTGTGTGTGAAAAGGCTTCAAAAAGTCCAGGGAAAAAAATTCCAGAATCCCTTAATAAAATTTTTCCATGAACACTTTGATGTCCTCATATATATTACAACACACACACATAAAGGGACTTTATAATTTATATGAGGGCTTCAAAAATTTTATGAAAAAATGGAATTAGAGGTTAATGTGATTTTTTTTACATTAGTTTTTAAAAATTATATGTGTGTGTATGCATATGTATACATCTATATGTAGTTGCAATGTGTATATATATGGCAAATAGGTATGTGCATATATACAGCTCTCGATCCAGCCATGTCAGCTATTTCTATGAAACAGTTGCCCCCGAGTTGCTGCTGACTCATGACGAGCCTCTGTGTGCAAAGCAGGGTTGTGTTCCACAAGGTTTCAAATGACTGATTTCTCAGAAGTAGATTTCCCAGCTCTTATTCCAAGGCACTTCAAGGTGGACTTGAACTCCCAACTTAAATGATTAGTGTAGACTTGTGTGTGAACAATGTGTGCCACCCATGGACTCCAAACCAAAGTACAGAGTCCTCAGAAGGTGAGAGAAGGTGAGGTCTTTGTCAACAGTCCTCTGCGATCACATTTAGGAAAGTCACTGGATTAGACTTTCTGTGAGAGGGTGCCCCCGTTGGTGAGGACTCGAGTCCACGTCACCTCGGAAGAACCAGGGATGATTAGCCCAAAGAAGAGAAGATTCTAGTGGGGGAGAAAGTTAGTTGGGAAAGGGGCATGCTAATTGGCAAAGGCAAATTTTTGGCTGCTTTTTCAAAGAGGAAATAGATGAACTGTTACACTCACCCCCACCCCCTTCTACCAGGCAGAGCTACTTAAGCTATGTTTCAAAACGAAGAACCTTCTAGAAGAAGAAGTCTTCAACAAGAAAAAATTATTTATTGCCCACAGCAGCTCCTTGTTTCTAAGCAAGTTCAAAGATAAGGAAGTTTTAGGGGTTAGGGATTTTTATTCTTGAAGGGAAGATGAACTACTTTAAACTTATGGCTACAGTCATGCAAGTAGTAATGCCCAGCATCCACTGTTTAAGTGATGGTTTCATGTTTTGTTACCACAATGCATTTTAATAAACAGTAATTTAATAAACAGTAATTGAGATTACCTGCTGGGCAGCCTTTCATCCCTTCCATTCTCATGTAGCCAGGGCAGCATTCATACACCACAGTCCTGTATGTTGGAATAAAATTAGTATTGGGGGTTTAAGTAGGATATGTTTTGACATATTTGCCATGATTTCTTTTTTGAATGTCTGGAAATCAGAGTTTTTGCTTGTTTGCTTTTGTGGCTCTATGCTATTCAAATTGATTTTGTTTCTCTCCACGGGGGCTGAGCATAGTGAAAAAAAAAGTCCTAATATCTAGATTTACAAAAAAATGTGAGTTTTTCCCAGGTCTGTAATTTGGTAGATGTGTGACATTGAGCAAGTAATTTCAAGGATAAGAGCTCTTTAATATGAATAATAACTGAACTATGTCCTCTTAGGGTAATTGTAAATCTCAACATGATTTTGAAGCTATAAGGAACTAGGATTGTTAATTAGTGAAAATTATTAGAAACATCAGAAAGCATATTAGCCCATTTCAAACAAATGAAATGCAATATAGTGGATATATAAAAGACCTATTATTTTTGTTAGAATTAATTTTATTAGATTGCAGAATGTCTTTAAAATTTTATTTTACAAACATTTGAATAATTTAAATAAATTTGATTTAAGTTACTCAAGTACAAGATTTAAGAAAATGCTATGTCTTGGTCCAAAGACTGATGACAATTGTATTAGGCAAAAATAACGATTTCAAGGAATATTGTTAACACAAATTTCTACACCAAATGCTAATACAAGAATCAGTCTTACTATAAAGAATTTAATTCACCAGATAGTATAACATTCAACAGCAGGGAAAATGATATCCGGTGACAGAACAATATGGCCCTCAGAGTTACTTTTTGGTTTTTTTCCAGAGTTGATATTTTAAAGACAAAAATAAATAGCTGTTCCAGGGGAGCATTTTGGATACTGAAAACTCGATGTTTCCATCTCGCAGGGCATATTTTCAGGAGTGACCCGTCTTGTGAAGAGACATATTGTTCGATAAAGCGGAGGAACAACGGAAAAGAGAAAGACCTTTAAGATACCTTGACACAGTGGCTTCCACAATGGGCTCAAACTTGAGAACAATGATCAGGACGGGGCAGGGCTGGGCAGCGTTTGCCTCTGTTGTGCACAGAGTCTCTCTGAATCAGAGATGACTTGATGGCACCTAACAACCACAATAATAATTGAACAAAGGACAGATTGTAAAATTTGTGGGGTTTTTTAAGTCAAGTTTTAAAGCAGGGATTAAAAAATAAATCCAGAAAGAATCTTGGCGTATGCTTTGTACAAGTCGTAGCATCTCAAAAATACTTAATTGGTTTAGGTAAGATTATATCACACTTCACTAACTTCCAGACAGAATGCAATAAAAAAATTTCCTCTCTAAATGTTTTAGAGAGCAGGTCTTTCTTATCTAGTTAGTCTGCAAGTCAAACTTTGCCTCACGCTCTCCACAAATCGAAGGAACAAATGGAAAGAACGCAAAGCTATGAAGTTGCCAACTGGGGCCTGGCCTGAAGCACGGGCTGGCTCCTTGTAGCCCTGACTAAGACTGTAATTGTGTGAATGACTCATGGGTCTAGTAGTTTACAGGAACAAAGTCCAGGTCAAAAGATAATTTTAAGACTTTTACACCAGTACCTTCTGCTAAAAAGCAAAAGGAACCTATGAGCCTCGCCACAGATGCAGGGAAAACAAAACATGCTCCCACCAGACAATGGGAGAGTTTTTATTCGTTGAGAAAAATCAAGTTTTGATACCCGCTCCAACATAGATAATCCTAGAAAACAGTATGTTGGGTGAAACCACTCAAACACAAAAGGACAAAAATGTTATAATCCCATTCCTCCTATCTAGAAATAGTCCACTCACTGCCATTGAGTCAACTCAGATGCACCGTGTCCACACAGGACACAGGAGAACAGACCCTGGGGGTTGGGAGACTCAACCTCTTCTGGAGCAGACAACTTCATCTTTCGTCCACAGAGGGGCCAGTGGGACCTGGGGACCCTGTGGGTAGCAGCTTAGTGCATAGTCCACACCACCATCCAGGTCCTTGAGAAATATAATAGGCAAATGCATAGACGTAAAGGCTTATTCCGGTTTAGCAGGGTTGAGGAGGAGGAGAAGCTGCAGAAGTATTGCTAAAGGGGTGCTGAGTTTTTCATCTCAGCATAACTAGACTATTTGGAAATGGAGAGTGGACAGGAATCGTTATACATGATAGTGATGTCTCTTTTGGATGTAAGTAGCCCAGCAGATCTCCTCCTAGGCCACTATTTAGATTCGGTCTTTTGGTGTGTGTCAGTTTTGAAGGCCACCTAATGAGATTGACAGGCATGTTACTGAGAGAACCGTTCACCACCCACAGAGACATGTTTAAACATGTTTCATTTGGAATAAACAAATACACCTATGAATTGGAACCGTGTAGCAATATTTCTCGGCATACCCTCATGTATCATTTATCATTCCTTTAGGCATCGATATATTAAACATAGGTGTGGGCTTCCACTATGACTGCTCTGAGTGCCTGGGGAACTGCTGCCTAAAGACCTGGTCGCTGGATAAGTCCTTTCCAGCTTTAAGCTTTGATGGGAGCTCTGAAGTCAACAGAAACCATTTGACTAATTTCCAGATGGCCAGGAGTAAATATGAACCCTGGACCCCAAAATGGATTATTTCAGATCATTTCCCCCTCATTTATAAGGAAACGAGGACACTGAGGCACACGGGTTATTTGGATGGCCTGAGATCAGAGAGGGCAAGACTCAAAGAGTTAAATGATAAAGGAGAGGCCGTCTCCTGGCTACTTGTCAACTCATATTCCCATGTGCTTTGCCCCCTTTGGCCTCCATGGACACATGGATTCGGGAGGGAATTTGAGTCCCATGAGTAACAGCCAGCAGATGCCAGCAGAATTTCCTTCCTTGTGTGTGTGATCCTTTCTTTAAAAAACCGGGGTGGGGGGCGGGGAGGCTCACAATTGGGAAGAATATTCTCAGGATGAATACTGGTCTTCATGTGGAAAGGCACATAGATGACAGTGTTACCTTGAAACTGGCGCATCATGGCAAAGGTGAGACTTACGCTTTCTTTCCACAGATGGCACCTTGATACCAGTTCTTACAAGTGCTGAAGTACTTCTTTTTGGTGCCTAAAATCTGCTGAAGGGCACAGACATTTGGGCTGGAGGGGAGAGAGAGAGAAAGAGAGTTAATGTCCTGAGGATGAGGAGATGTCTTTCATAGCTCATGTGGGATGGTTAAAAAAAAAGAAAGAAAGAAAAAAGCATGTGGATTTGATTTTCAAAAATGTGATTTCAGCCTGGCACAAATCTGTTTCTTGGTCCCATTCTGCTGATTCATCGGAAAAGCTAATCCTTGGAAGAGAGAGAAAGAGAAAAAAGTTAACTTTCCTGGGAATAAAATGCCATTGGGACAAAAAAGTTAGCTTAATCAGAATATCCAAGCAGTATTAAATTTAATCTAATCATGTGCTTATTATATCTGATAGAGGATTATGTGCTGACTCCGTGTTTTAAAGCAAACATTTGCTCATTTTGAGATGGGGAATGGCTTTAAGCTTCCCTGGAACAATGAGAAGTCAGAGAGGAAACGACATAAATTGTGCACATGCACAAAGACATACACAGATTCTGTAATTGGTAAATATTCTCAGAAGCAAGGGATGCCTGGTGACGGCTAAAATGAACTTGTGAGCAGTATGTCTGCACTTTGCAAAATTAAAATTTTGAATATGAGTAATAGAACAATCTCTGCTACAACTTAATATAGTTTTCTCTTGAAAAGAGATAGGAGCCTTACCCTCACTGTATATTATGAAACTCCCTAAGAGACAAAGGAAGAGTGTCAAGTCCATTAAAAAATGATTTAAAAAATGCTAAGCTGCAGTTGGCTGGACTCTACAACATATGCATTGTCTTTTGGAAACTTTATGGGGTGCAGAATTTAAAATGATTTAGATCAAATGCTTTGGAGAACTAGTTAAATGATTCATTGCTCAATTCTAATATACAATTTAAATGAAGTAAACAGGAAGTTTGCGTTCACAATATCTAAGATGTTTGCAAACTGTTCACATAACCAAAGCCTGTAATCACTAATAATATAATTTTGATACTTCCAGACATTTCAGATTTCTGGAAGAAAATAACCAACACAAATAACAGTCACAAAACAATGCCTTATTATGTTTTGCTATTTTAAAACCATGTGACATTTCATAAAAAATGCACGAGTTACAAAATATTTTAACAGCGATTCTTAAAGTTAAAATACACTTTGTCACAGAATGCTTATCTTCTCTTCATTGTCTTGTAATACATTGTTTTAAATTTTTTCTTATTCCTGTGTAAGAACTTTCAAATAAGAAGCTCTGAGGCATTTTAAATATAATTATACATAGGACAAGATAAGGGAAAAATTAATTTTGACTTACCCCTGATCCCGGCCCCTGATCCGACTATGAGCCAAGATTTTGTCATAATGACCATTGGCATCCGCAGGGTTAACCACAAACAGCAAGAGTAGGGAAACGATGGGTAGGAAAGGAATCATCTTTTCAGTCCCTCCGTTGCTCTCAGTCCACGAAGAGAACTGGCCGTGGGCTTCGGAGGTCTGAGCTTATATACATGTCCCAGCGGTGGGAGGGAGCTCTGTATCAACCTGGGAATCTGAACGTCCTCCAAGAAACATCAGCAACTCATAGCTGCTCCGCGCCCATCTGCTGGGGTTAGTTATACTTACTCCACTTAGCGAGCCTCTTTTTCTTCTCGATATGAATAAACATTTTTATCATATGAAAACATGATTTGTTGAATGTTCCCATTCCAGTTTCATTCACCGATAATGTAGGGTTTCTTTTACAAAACTTGGATGTTAAGGGTTTAAAACAAAGCTCGGCAGTCACATTTGCAGCGTACTGGGGATAGAGCTAAGATTAACTATGTTTGGCAAGTTGCCCTAACTCTTGAAAGGAAACAGAAAGGAGACATATGTTTGATTTCTTTATTTGTACATTAAGTATATCACACAATGCTGGAAAATCTCTGGGAAGGGCATCCACTGAGAAGTGCAGGCAAAAGCAGTGCTTTTTAGAAACAACTATTACTAATGCAAATGTAAGAGGTTAATTAACCACACGTTCAAAAGCAGGGGTATGATCATTTTATCCCAGAATAATTCAAGTCTCTGAACATTCAAAGAGACCACCCGTAGCCACGGAAATGGCCACCCTCACTGGTCCTAGTCAGATATTCAGCAGCTTTGTATAAAAAAATCTGAATGGTAGAAATCATCAACTAGCACTGTCACTGTGAATAAGCAAGCTATTCAAATCTCCTTGAATAAGCACATTATAAACTATCCCAGAGTAAAACCCAAATTCATTATTTTTGAGTCAATGCTGACTCAGCGAGCCTGGGAGGATAGGGTTTCCAAAGGTAATAAATCTTTATGGAAGCAGACTGCCACAATTTTTCTTCCAGCAGTTGTGGATGATGGATTCAAATCACACACCAGATGTTTCATGCAATCCAAATGACATCTAGTTGCAAACTAATGGTGCATCGCTACAATGGCACAACAGGGCTATTTTTTGTTGTTGCTGATGCTATGTAAAATATTTGCATGAACTTTGCATATTGTTGAAGTGAAAGGGCTTTCAGGGCGGGACTGGGCAAGAGAAAAGGCTCACACGGTCAGGAGTCTTGAGATGCGTGAGCTGTGAGATTTTGTCTAGATCATTAAAATAATTCTCCAAGTTACTATGGATTTATTAAAAGAAGTTATGATGAAGAAATAAGGAATTCTGCGATTTCTTTTAGCACCCCCCCTTTAAATGTGAACATCTTAATATTAAAATGTGGAATGTGAATGGGGCCGTGTAAAAGGATTGCTGGAGAGATGATTGTGTAGTAGAAGAGTTACCGGTATATTCCTTCCCCTGAGTGGGGGTGGAGGGGGTGGGGTGGAGGAAGAAGACCTGTCACTTATATAGTTCTCTGGATGAAAAAAACCCAACTCCACTTGTATTTCCCTGTTCATCTTTATTTCACCATTTTACATTTTTTTGTCATTGAAAATACCGATGTCATGCAAAAATTAAAAGAAACAGTTCTACTTTATGGCAGTAGATACATAGCTAATAGTATCAAAGGCTATTTTATGAATATTAAATAGACTATCAAAGCAACCAAGCCAATTGCCGCCAAGCAGATTCCAACAGTCGGTATGAATGAAGGGCAGCATTGCTTTCTGTTGTATATAGGATCATTCTGAGTCAGAACCAAGAATAATGAGAAATATAAGATAGACTACTTACCCTTAAAACATAATTATAGAATTTCTAAACCACTGAACAATAAATCTAACTCAAAATACAGACATTTTCCCCCAACATTACCACCATATATAACTGTTCGTCTTTACTGGGATGCTCACTACTATTAATACACCCCCCTTTTCACTTGTAATTAGTATGTCTCACAATGGTGACATCTATTAACTGCAGTGGGTTTGATGGAAGGCAGAGGGACCCTTGCTTTGCACTCTTGACTTTTAAATGACTCACAGTAACCCCAAAGACGCAGAGCCAACTGCTCCATTCCATTTCCTGTAGCTGGGAGCTTCATGGGAGCTGAGCCCCAGGGTCTTTCACCACAGGATACTCTTGGTGGATTGAACTCTGGATTTGAACGGACCTTCGTGTTTGCAATCAGAAAATTAGCCATTAAACCATCAGATCTCCTTGGGATAGAGACAGACTTGGATATGTTATTACAAGAGTGAAAAAAGTATCTCTTGAATTCACTGCCAAATGATTCTATTTAGACTCAGTTATGAGCATTGGATTAAAGGCAGAATCAAGCATTTCCTGACATGCTACTGACTTTGTCCCGGATGCCTACAATAAATTGAAATAGTACTGATTCCTTTAAAGAATTTTTTTTAACCCGATTGTTTCTTGTGAACATCATTTTGTGCCGGCTCAAGCAATGGGTGTCATTGATCCCCACACCATTAGTGATCTAAGTGGACAGAGAGTTGAATGCGAGGTATAGTGTAGACAGACTTCTAGCTATATTTCAAGCTACTTTTAAAATCTCCTGTCTGGCAAACCTTGCACGGTGATTTTTAGCAAAAGGCATTATGCGCACTCACACAATAATGAAGAGTTCTTTAAGCGTTCATGTCAAATTTTCAACTATTAAGAGCTCTGGAATTTATCCTTCCTGTTTGAGAATCGAGGTCTAAGCTCCATGGAAGGCAGCCCATGCTAGTCCTCCACACAGATCGACACTCAGGGCCAGTCATTCCACCCAGGAAAAATACTCAACACATGGGCCAGGCTGTGCACAGAACCTACCTGTACCTTTCAAGGTTGGGAAACCTTCCAGGGAAAGAGAAACTTTAGGGGAAAACATAACAAAATGTCCTCAGTGATTTCCACCAAGGACCTGATGGCAAGGACTTCAATCTGCGCCCAACTACTAGAGATCAGTGAATTGTGTGGCCCATCCAAGAGGAGGGAACGCTGCAAGGAAAAGAGCCGAGGGAAGCGCAGAAGTGGGACGTCATATGCTGAATAATGGGTGAAAGTTCAGGCAACTACGGTAGCCAGTATCCTGATCTCAGGGAGGGTCATTGAACTTTGACTTATAGTTGACAGTTGTGGGTAGAGTGAGGAACGGAGAGGGTCCCAGAAAATGGGAAGAAAATATACATCTTAGGAGGGATGCAATCTTCTTCTTTCAAGGGGCTTACCAAAGGTCACTCTCTTTCCTCTTGCCCCCTCTCTCTTCACAGAGAAGCCTATTCTTCTGCTTCATGAAAGCATCCTGACCCTGACTTGGCACACAATCTGCTGATCCCCAGCTGCCTGAAGGAAGATTAAAGCCTAGTAATTAAGTCTGACTTTCAGGGTTGCTGTGTCTGACCCGAAGAAATGAGTCAGTCAGGAAAAAGAAATGGTTTATTGCCAAGGAAGGAAAAATGATGTGCCCGAAAGACAGAGACTTTTGTTTCTAGAAATCAGGCTGGTAATTTACTGGCAGTTCACGAATTACCCAGTGGATCTCTGTAACAAGCGTTGTAGCCTCTGGAGACATGAAGTCATTGCACAATTATGCTACTGTCACCAGTTTGTAACCAACCTTAAACTTGCTCCACACAACGTAGCACTGGACGGGGGACATGGATTCAATAAACCTGCATAGGCTAAGCCAAAAGCAGTTTTGAAAACTGAGACTTTCCTGGGTTTTGAAGCATCCGCAGTGGTTCTTTCCATCATGATTTATGAACCCCATACTTTTGTCACACGTGGTCTTGAAAGCATCTTCTCAGGGTCATTGCGCTTCCTCGCTGCCCTGTGTGTGAAACAGGAGTCCCTGGGTGGCACAATCAGCCAGGAACCCAAAAGCTGCAACCCACCAGAGGTGCCTCATCAGAAAGGGCTGGCAATCTCAGAGCCCAGTTCTGCTCTGAAAGCCTAGGGATCCCAGGCCACTCTGACACACCTGGGGTCTCCATCAGTCAGATCAGCCATGAGCAATGAGTTGGATCCGAGAATCCAATGTGGGTGATAGAACTGACTAGACAAAGTGTGCAAGTGTCCTCGATGCCATACTTACTTCCTTGAAGGCAGCATCCTCCCGTGCGGGTCCATCGTTCTCAAGCCTCTTCGTTGTTGTTAGGTGCCACTCAGTCCGTTCCGACCCAGAGGCGCCATATGCACGGCAGAGGGAAACGCGGCTTGGTCCTGGCCGTCCTCCCAATTTTCCTAAGGTTTGAGTCCATTGCTGCAGCCAGTGCGCGGTCCGCCTTGGGTCTTCCTCTTGTTTCCCTGCCCTTCGACTTCATCCAGCGTGCGGTTTTCCACTCACTGCCCTGGGTCAATGCTGACCCCCAGCGCTGCTGCAGGGCAGAAAAGAACTGCCCTGTGAGTTCCCAAGACGGTAGGAGCCCTGGCCGTGTGGCCTTCAGTCTCTTTGAGAGAAGGACAAGGTTTTCTTACAATCATTATGCTGTGCTGAATTAAACCAAACTTGCAGAAGATTCAAATTAAACAAGACGTAAATGTGGTGACTTCCCGAACACTCTTTGAAAAACACAGACAACATGTAGGTCAACAGCCATGGCATTTTTAAAGATAACGGGCCACATGGAAGCTCCCACCTTGGGGCCGGAGGCATTAGCAAGGGCACGAAAGGTGGCCGCAGTCTGTCTCCTGGTTTCTTACCAACAGATTTTCGCTAGCTAGCTTCATCGTTCTTTCAGGAATACGCTGACCCAACATATCCAAGATAAAGAAATAATATTCTGAGAAACCTGAGGACCTTCTCTAAAGCAAGCATTGAATGATCACACGTTAGGGTTGGCTCATTGAGATGGCACTCTGTGATAAGAATGGGTTTTCCTGCCATTTTTCCTGTATACATTTCTACGGTTCCTTCCTTTAACAGTCCACCACGTGCACCTTTCACTCCCACCCACAGTGCAATCGGGAGCACTCACTGCCATGGGTCGATTCCTACGTACAGGGCCCTGATGGACAGGCTAGAGCTGCCCTGGTGGGTTCCACGGTTACTTTCCCGGTCTCCAAGGCCTCCTCTTTTTCTTTTGAGGTGTCTGGCGGTTTCCAACTGCTGGTTTGGGGTTAGCAGCCCAACATGTAACCACTACACTACC